TCATGCTTCGATGCCGTAATCTGTTCGAAGTCTACACCGATATATGGTTCGTGTACAAAATCGCTTTCATCTACGCGATGGTCTGTCTGGAACTCGACGACACGCCCACAAGTATCGCACGTAGGGACGTGACAGCATTCTTCAGCCCACAGGACTGCGTCAACTTTCTACGTTTTACGCAATCGCAAGTGAGTGCATGTCGCAGCTAAGTATTATATCGTTGCTGTGGCTTGGACATGTGTACTCCGGCTATCAGCAGCAGCAGTGTGTGTATCAGTATGTCGTTCAATAGCAGCAGCAGTATGTCAGCATCCCGTGGTTCGCGAGGGGTTAGCCGTTCTGGGTGCGTCAAGCCACCGTGCTGTGTTCGACCCACAAGCCAACGGAGGGGTGTGCCCTGGAATAACAAGTAACACATCGTTCTTTGCTTTCCTGTGTGGTGTCACGTGATGCAGGTTATGCTGATGCTGGATCTGCTGTTGATCCCCGCGTTCATCCGAACTGACTGTGGGTTCGTGGTAAGCGGACGTGAGGCTCTGTGCGTGCTCTTGTATCGGCTCGCTTTCCCATGCCGCCTGAAGGACATGCGCTTGGTTTTCGGGATGAGTGAATCGTGTATCTGCGAAGTCTTCAACTGGATGTTGCATTTTCTAGACTTCAGGTGGGGGTATCTGCTGTCCCTCGACGTGGCACGCCTGCAGCCGCACCTGATCGAGTTTGCGGAAGCAATCTTCAACTCCGGCTGTCCTCTCACTCACTGTTGGGGATTTATCGATGGCACCGTGCGTGGCATTGCAAGGTGAAGTCCGACTCAACGGATTCTGGCGTTTTGGTACATACCGCAGACAGTAGTTGCGTGATTCCCCCCGCGGATTGCTTTTCCCGCCGCGTATCCAACCCAGCATCAGCAGGCCATCTTGTACGTTCCTTGAGTTTTGCGACGCACTCACTATACCATATGTTCATCTGTGTGGAAAAGTCGTGTGGTTGCGCGTGCACATGATTGATTGCGATTTACCACGAGGTTGCAACATGCGATGAGTTTTAGCAGAACGATGAAATACAGCAGCACTGTTGGGTGTATGTCTTGACCTGTGTTGTTGGTGGCCCATCCTACCGTACGCCCAAAACTGATTCGCAGGCCCAAGCACTGGCAGCGACTGTTGTACAATGGGCACAAGAGGAAGCACGCCATGAAGTTCCAAGGAGTAATTACACCAGATGGGCTATTTGTGGATCTGTGGGGCCCCGTGGCGGGGACACGTCATTACAGCTTTATTCTAGCGCAGTCTGGGTTGATGGAGAAGATGTCGGTGCTAAACAGCCCTACAAGCCATCCGTACTGTTTGTGTGGAGATCCGGCGTATGGACTAAGCAACCACCTTGTCTGTCCTTTTAGCGCGTCAAGTGTCGGCCCTCTAACGCCAGAGATGGCCGACTTCAACAAGCGTATGAGCCACTGCCGCGTAACGGTGGAGTGGTGATTCAAAGAGATGACCGGCAAGTGGGTCTTTGTGAACATGAAGCCGCAGCAGGCATTCTTGCTAAGCCCTGTCGCCAAGCAGTACCGGGTAGCCACTTTGCTTTCTAACTGGCACTCATGCATGAACGGGGGCAACGAGATCTCGCAATACTTTGGCGTGGTGCCACCCACTTTGGAGAAGTACGTAGCGGTGTAAGTGCAAGATGCACCCACGTTGTGTGAGAACTCTAGGCATCTTCGGTGTTCCAGGCGTAAACCAAGACAAATAGCCGTTTGCTGGCGTGAGCAAGTCGCGCACGATAGACTTTCCAATTGTATGTGAGAATCGAATGATCAGCGCCAAAATTATTTTTTCTCCTTGTCGTTTAGGTGGGCAAACGCGGGCGATGCAGAGGGCAAGCACGGACGGTGTATGTATATCGTACGGGTGTATAAGCGTTGCGTAACAATCGGATGCCGCGATTTTTGGGGACAGTTGGTTTGGAGGGTTTGAATGGTTAACTTCCTGGGAGAAATTGTATGGTGCGAAGAAGTCGTCTCCTCCTTGCTGGTCATTTATTATGTGGGCAAACGCGAGCGGATGCATAGGGGAAGTACGGAATGTATCGTGCGGGTGAAGCACTGCGCAAAAGACAGACGCCACTTGTTGAATGCCAGTTTCATTTTTCAATTGTTCCTCCTGATAAAACACTCCCCAGAACAGGCAAGCCTCCCCCGAAAAAAACGCGCCAGGCGCAAAGGATGCCACGATATTCTTTCGAAGAGCCTGCCGTTGAAAAAAAACAACACATGCAACGCATGCCCTAGCAACTGCAGCAGCAGCAAGGAACAACATATTCGCACGATTGAGAGCGAAGTATCTGATTGAGAGCGAGATCGTGCGATACGATGTAGCTTGTCTACTGCTGAGAGGTAGAGCTTGCTGTGCGGCTTGAATTGAAGGGCTTGCCCATAGCTACAAGCCG